AGGGGGTTTCAGGGCTGCCTGCAAAGACACTGAGGTCATCCTGTCATAGAAGGGGTACGCCCTAATCCACCCACAATTAAGCAAGCCAGAAGGCATTTAACTCACACAAAGAAACCAGTAGGCAGAGATTTAGGTACCAGTTTAAGCCAGTCCCACTCACACCTGCACAATGAAGACCCCAAAGACCTTCAACTCACCTGAGCCTCATGATAACATCATTATAATATAATGCGTATGCCCAGAAGTTCATTAATATCATTATGACAGACTGAATTCTGGGATCAAACATGCACAGAAAGCAAAATGATCACTCACTGAGCACTGTCAATCTCAGTTGTCAATCAAGGAAGACCACTCCTCTAAGAAAAGTAACCACTCACAGCAAAAAAGAGATAAAAACCCTGAAGTCTTTGTTACCAGGCCTTTTGAGGCACGCTTCTCTAGCTCAGGCCCACTTCCACTTCTGGAAGTGTACCTTCCTTTCTAATAAAACTTTTGTTCTCTACTGTATTTCGGTGTCTTGCTCAATTCTTTGTTTGAGACATCAAGAACCTGGAAAACGCGCTGGTAGAGGACCCACTCTCAGGTAACAGCATCTCTTCCTCTCGACATTTTGTCAACCCCCTTTTACAGATGAAGAAACTGAGGAAATAGGCTAAGTGACCTGCCCAAAGTCTCACAGCTGGTAACAGGCAGAGCCGGGACTCACACCCAGAGAGTTGGGCTCCAGAGTGGGAGCACTGAACGATTCTAACTCCAAAACATGTCTCATCGAATCTCCCTGCTACCCTGGGAAACTTAGTGTTTTCCTGCGTGCATCTGAGTCCAAGCAAGACACACACAGGTTTTGCAACAAAGAAAGTAAAGGTTTATTTTAGAGGGCTGCAAGTCCTGGAGATACAGGTAAGCTATCACTCAAGAACCTGGCTCCCCCATGGCGTCCAGGGGATATGTTATATAGGGGAAGACTCATTAGTCATGGTAGCTGAGGGAGTTGGGGTCGTGTGCTCCGCTGATTGATCAGGGTTGGAGTAGGAGGCAATTGCTCATTGCATCAGGTCCTAATGTCTGTCATGGTGTCTTTCTGTCTGGTTTTGAGGGGATGGGGCTGGTGGGATCATGCCACCTTCATAGGTCTGCTGCTGAAACGCACCTGAAGCCAAGTCATTATCCTTAGTTTAAGCAAAAGTTGTTCTCATGATGAATAGACCTGAGGCTTTATTCGTAAAATGACGCTGACCAGAACCTAATATCCTAATGATACAGGACGGGGCAAATTTCCCCAAGTGACAGGGAGACCAAGCCCCGTACCAAGAGAAGAAGAGAGTCCTTTAGCAGAGAGAAGAATTCAACACACACACCAAAGTGCGAGTCAAAAGGAAAGTTTATTCGAAAAAGGGTAATACTCTACGGATAGAGTGTGGTCTCTCTGAGGCAGAGAGAGAGACCAAGACAGGTTTGGAAAGGTTGTGAATAGGTGAGTGAGTGTTCAGGGAATTTAGTTTATATATCATTCTTTAGTTCCTGTGAGTTATTGTTTAAAAGACTTTGTTAACCCATTTCCTTTGATATGGACATACAGTGAGGAAGGGGAAGGGGAAGGAAGAGTATGTAGCTTGAAAGGACTGCTTGCTGGCAGTTCTCAGCCTTTAATCCATAGGCTCCCCGTGGTTTTAGTTATAGGGAATGACTCTTGTTTCCTGTTTCCCCTTCACAGGTGTGGAGGATGGGCTGTTAGCAATCCCAGCAGAAATCTTTCTTTGTTCTGAGGATGTCCTCCTGGCCTGGCTGCAGGGCTGATCAGCACTTTGCAGTCTATGAATGTGGCTTGATTAACATTTTTAATTCTCTTGCCTCCTCTCTACATTACTAAGGCTTAATGATTAAGGAAGTTGGGAATACAGTACATGCAAAGGTGGAAAGATAGGGGTGAAAAAACTAGTGAGTCACAATGTTATTATGCTAGACAAACCTATATTAAAGAAAGGGTGGTTCCATAGAGTAGTGTTTAGCACATCTGCTTTACATGCAAAAGGTCCTGGGTTCGAGCCCCAGCAGAGCTGCGGCCCATACCCAGGGCTCGTGGGGTGGGAGGAGATGCCTCGCCTTCAGAAATCCAGTTCTTAAGGGGAGATGGCATCCCTAGGTCAGGGGTGGAAGTGGCAGGGGGATTAAAAAATAATAAAAATAATAAAGAAAGGAAGTCTGTGTGCAGTAACAAAACCAGGTCTGAGAGAGAGACACACAGCTTGTAAATGATATGCTCGGGCTCAAACTCAGCTCTGTGCGCTAAACACCAGAAATTTTAATGGAGAAAGATTGGCTATTTTATTATGAATGGCACCACCCAGGAGAATGAGAAGGCATTGCTCAAAAGCCTGGAACTCCCTGATGGTGTGTAGGTTACAGATTATATTGTTGCAGGAAGTGACACCTGAAAAAGGAATTCAGACGCTCAGACAACTTTGTTAGAGGAAGGAGAATTTAATGCCGGCGGAGAGCATGGGACATTCAACAGACCCAAAGCATGATCTCCCCTTGGTTAGATTTCTTACAGCTTACATACTCTCTCAGTGACCATGAAAGGGGCGCGTGATTTCTTTGTCTGAGGGTTTACATGTCCCTCCTTACTCAGAGTGGGGAGGGGCAGCTTTGGGTGGGGGACAGCAGGGGAGGAATTTCCAGACCCTTGATGTTATCAGCACCTTTATTGGATTCTTGAACAAAGAGACGACACTTCTAGGCTTACAGACCAGAGCAGCATTCATTGATGTCTGTGCCCCCTCAGCAGCTTCCTTATCCAAAGGCTGAGCTCTCGCTGTAACACAGCAAACAGTTCCACAGTCTTGATATTCCTATACAGCTACAGAGAAAGGGAAGGGGCTGGAGAATCCTTGAGGTGGGGGATGCAGCTGTGGAAAACATGTTAACTGAAGAGCATAGGGCAGAATGGGGGAAGAGAGAGAGCAGTTTTAACCAGCCGAGTCGGTTATGGTTATTTCTGCAGGCCCTTTCCTTTGCCTCTATTTTTACTTTCAGATGCCTCCTCTTCTCTCTCGATATAGGGCCAAATCACAAGATACTGTGGGTTCGGCATTAGGGGATCCCATCAGGTCTTACGGACAGTGCTGAGACCTCTGTCTGGTTTCATGGAAAAGAGCCAGGGGGTCATTTCACCCTAGGGCTCAGGAGCTGAAACATAACTTAGGTCAAGATATTATCTTTAGCTTAACAGAAACTCATACCTTGTGACCCTTAGTTAAGTCATGGCCATTGTTTCTGGCTGCCTCAGCGGGGTTAATGGCTAGGAAGAAAAAGGGCTAAAGCTTACAAAGCATACTCTGAAGAAATTTCAATAGAGTGCCAGTAATCTGAAAGGAGGCAAGAGATCTAAAATGTTAAATCAAGCTACATTCAGAGACTTCAACATGCTGATCAGCCCTGCAGCCAGGCCAGGAGGAAACCTGCAGAACAAAGGAAGATTTCTGCTGGGATTGCTAACAACCCATTTCTCCACACCGTGAAGGGAAAACAAGAAAAACAGAGTCTTTAAGTGGCGCCCTACACGCAATAAAATCATTAATTTCCTATGGCTAAAACCATGGGGAACCCACGGATCGAAGCCTGGGCACTGTCAGCAGGCCTTTCACGCTATATATTACCTTTTCATGCTAGGTGCTCTTATCTTTCCTCATTGTATGTTCTTATCAAAGGAAAATGAGTAAACAAAGTTTTTAAATTGTAACCCACAGGAACGAGAGAATGATATGTAAACTGAATTCCCAGAACACTCAGGATGCCTCTCAGAGCCTTCACTCTCTCACTGTCCTGGTCTCTGTCGTCTCCGTCCCTCTGAGTGTCTCTTAGGCTCTCTCACTCTCTGCCTCTAATAGGAGAACAAATTCCATCTATGGAGCATTACCCCGCATCTCTCTCGGGGGAATTTGCCCTGCCCTGCATCACTGGGGCTACATAGTAAGTCAAAATCATACATTAAATCAGGACTCTCGATTTTGACCAGCTGAACCATTCCAGTGTCTTGGACCTTCCTGCTTCTGTGTGTGTCCACACCCAAGGAATCCCCTGCCTGCCTACCTCCACACTGGTTTTAAAATTCCATCCATCCCAATGCAAATCCCGAGGGCTAATGCAAATGCCCACCTCCTCTCCCCATTCACAAAGCCTCCCGTGACTTCCGCCTGAAGGCACCTCACCCTGTGAATTCTGCAGCCCAGGGAATCCTGCCTGTGACCCTTTCCCTCCACCCCACTCTTCACGAAGGACCCTGGTTTCCTCCTCTTTCCTCCTTCCACGCCTCACCTCTTCACCCCCGTCTGAACCATTTTCAGCTTCGCCCGGGCTCCCCCTTCTTTGTTTTATTTGTTTTTACCATTTATTGAAATCTCTTATGCTTATATATAGCCTTTAACTTTACATACACTACACACATGTTTACATGCATTATTTCACCTAGCCTGGGAGGCAGGTGCTATCACAAGTGAGATGGGTCTGGGTGGAGGCTCTGTCTCCAGGGCCCTTTTAGGTAGTTTAAATTGTTATAAAAATATTGATCACTGCAAATCAGTAAAAGATCGCCAGATAGGAAATCAGCTTCACACAGAGAGGGAAAGTGACTTTCTTAACATCACACAGTACATGAAGACTTGGGGCTGGAACTGTGTAGCTCTTGCTTTCCCCTGCCTTGTGTTATATTCTCATGCAATCATCCATGTGGTGGGCCTCTCCCACGCTGGGGGTCAGAGAGACTTCCCCAGGTGAGACGGGACATCACTTGTAAAATTCTTAATCTTTTTTAGTAAACTTAGTTAAGTTTTCTTCCCACCTTTCTTTGGAAAAAAAGGCCCTCTTACTCAAATCTTGATAATTGCCCCAAACTGGAGACTCATCTTCTGGCTATTGATAAGGGTCATCAGCCCATTGTTAGCAGAAATGGTGTTAAGTCAGACCAGGGCCTTTAGAGTCTGGAGAGGAGAGGGGACTTTAGGCCAAAGGTCTTTTATTTTAACTCTTTAAGAAATATATTAACCAAGCCTGTTTCCCTTTACTCTCTTAATAGGCAAATCAATAATAGAAATTAATAGATATATGATTTAAATAACGAGTTTTTATCTTCTTTACCTTATTT